CTTGTCCCCTTGCCCCTCGCGAGGCACCAGCTCCCTGAGTCGCTGGGGAGAGGGGAGGTCCTGGCTGAGGCTGTTGCACACGTAGGAGGGGGCGGGCAGTGCTGCGCTGTGCCAGTGATGTGGGGGTAGGTGCCCCGGCCACACGGGTGATATGCCAAGTCCTGGCCGTATGCCCAGAGCTCATTGTACTGGTACCAACAGCCCGTGGGCACTCTCTGCAGCCTGCCGGTGAGCTGGCCTGGCCCTACGTGGGAAGGGGGGCAGCCGGGGCGGGGTTGGGAGGAATCCAGGCTTTGGCGCCGACGTCCCCAGCCCCCCAGCAGTGCCAGCCTCAGGGAGCTGGGCTTGCCTAGCCCAGCCTGGCCCACGATCACGGCCCGGCTGGGGGTAAGACCCCCCTGGTTTGAGACTGAGAGCTCGGAGGGCTTGCGGCTGGCATGGGCAGGTTGGGGGGGGGGGCTCTGAGAACACCCTTCTGCTCCCACCCTGCACCCTGAACCAGTCCTCCCCAAGAGCCCTGCCTGGCCCGCCTCGTGTCCTTCCCCACCCCACAGCCTTCCCCACTCCTGGGAGCAGGCCAGGCCACCAGGCCAGTGCTGAGAACAATGGGATAACGGGGGTGGGGAGGACCCCACAGGGAGTGGCAGGCGGGTAAGTTCTGTGCCAGGCCACACACTAGGGCCAGGGAGTGGGGGCACGAGGGGTTTGGGTTGCCAATTTTGGTTGGACGTATTCCTGGAGGTTTCATCACATGACATAATCTTTCATTAAAGATGGATCTTTAATTGCTGGAGACTCCAGGACAATCCTGGAGGCTTGGCAACCCGACGAGGGGCTGATGGTTGGGGGATTAGAGAGGATGGAGGGGCTGGGAAGAGCTGGGGGGGATACAAGGGGCTGGGAAAGATGGGCAGAGCGAGGGGGGCTCCACCTTTTGCTGGAATGCAGCTGACACCCCCCCACACACACACCCCGAGAACAAGGCCAGCGCATGCAGTGCATGCTGGGAAATGGGCATCTCCTCGCACCTGCAGCTGGGCTGTGCCTTGTTCTCCTGCCAAGGCTGCTTCGGGACTGGGGGGGGGGGGGGGGGCACGGCCCTCCCACCTCCGGCCTTGGGAAGGAAGATGCTGGCAGGGGCAAGGCCGCTCCCCACCTCCGCAGGAGAGGGCCCGTGGCCTGAGGCTGGGAGAATCTGGCCCCAGAGCTCCCCAGCAGACCAAGGGGACGGAGGGGAGCCCGGGCCACACCCCTCGGGGAGGCAGCTCTGGACGCCCTCAGGCCCCTGCGGGGAGCTGGGAACCATTTCCTGAGTCAGTTTCCTCCACCTGCGGCTCAGCATCCTCCCCCATGGCCGTGGGGCGCTGGCGGTATGGGGAAGGGGGCGGGGGGATAATTAGCCAGGTGCCTGCCTGAAGCCTTCGTTCACGGACACGTCAGCACCTCGCCCGCCGGAGGGATGGTGGCCGGCAGCTCCCAGCATGGCCTTGGTGGGACCCACAGCAGCTGTGTTCGTGGGGCGGGGGGGTTCAGAGACAAGCTCTCCTAGTGGGGGTGCTGAGGTATTGATCCCGGGCCAGGATTGGGCCTCAAGTCCGTCTCCCTTCCAGGAGCTTTGCACCGTTCAGCTCTGCTCCCTGCCCCGTAGCACGAGGACCGGGGAGGAGATCGCAAGTGCGCCCTTCCCCCAGCCACACACCATCAACCCCTGGAACTCACCGCTGCAGAATGTCACTGGGGCGAGCAGCATGAAGGGATCCACATGAAGAGGAGCACAGCAGGCATCTTCTTTAGATGGGCCTCCCTGACCATCTGTCTGTATCCACCTGCTGTCTCTTGTACTTCGGTTGTGAGCTCCTTGGGAAGGGCCAGCTGTTTGTTCTGTTTGTACCGCGCCTAGCGCAGCGGGGTCCTGGTCCGTGACTGAGGCTCCTAGGTGCTACCCCAATACAGATGAAATCGTAAATAATAATAGTCCATAAGCTGTTTGCAGGCCTCAGCACTAGCTCTTCTTGGTCCTAGAAAATCCAGGGACGACGCCACCTCCTGCTAGGCACCACGTCCTGGCACCTTATCTTTTAACTACCTGGGTTTACACAGGCATCTGTTCTGCAGCACACTCTTGTAACAATACTACCTAAGAAGAAGGGATCAGGCATTTCCCACAAAGAACAGCCCCTGCAGTGACACTGGCTAAGGGAAACCGACATGACTCCCAGTCCTCATGCTTCAGAGCATATGCTCAGGGAGGGTCAGGAAGGGATTTAGCTCCCATGGGGAGAGCATTGCAGTTTTTAAAAGCCATACGGAGCGTCTGGCACTGGCTGCTCTTGGAGGCTAGACGTACCGATGGAGTGTTTGCAGCCTGCTTTCCAGATCGAGAGAGGAATGCAGCCTTCTTGGATTTCAACCTGGTACCACATTGATGGACTTGGGGAGTTTACAGAGATCATTGGTCCGGGACTTGTAAATAACAGGGAAGCAGAGACTATTTTATATAGTTCTTTATCATAGCACCAAGAGGCTCCAACTAAGGTCGGGGCTCCATTGTGCAAGGCGCTGTATATAAAAGTTAATAAGAGACGGCCCCTACCCCGGAGAGCTTACAGTCTAACCAGCCCAGACCAAGGAAGGATTGTTATCCCCATTTTACAGATGGGGAAACCAAGGCACACAGCAATGACGTGACTTGCCCAGGGTCACACAGGGAGTCGGGGCAGAGCCAGAAATTGCTCCCATATCACCTGTATCCCAGCCCCGTAGCCTGCCCACACGACCACCTTCCAGTCTCACTAAATCGCTGCAGATCCAGGTGCTAACAGGGGATGGGGATGCACCTTCAGTGAGAGACTCTTTGACTAATCGGACCTTGTGTTGTTTCTCCGTACACGGCGTACTGAAAAGAAAGGGCCCTGGCCCTGGGACTCAGCACTCAATGGGTTAAAGTTTTATGGTGCTTGTTGGGGGACGGGGAGCAGCTGTTCCCAGCCCCTGTTTTGGCTGCTCGCCAACCCTGCAGAGTTTAAAGCCCCCAGCTGCAGACTCCGGTCCAAGGGGAAAGGCTCCCCAGAGACAGACCTATCCTCTCGCCCCAACTCCCAAGTCACTGGGCATCAGCCAGGCTGGGTGAAGGTGGTAGGGCATGTTCCCCCCCAGGGGCCCCCAGCTGGAAAGAGGGGGTGCAGTGAAAGGAGGTGTGTGTGGGGGGGGGAGAACTTGACACCTCGTCTTTGCATCCCTCTACCCCAGAGGGGATCTGAGCCCTCCCAGGGACAGGGGGTGCAGAACTCCAAGGTAGAGCTGGATTTCCACATTCCAGGGGAGCTGGGATCTGGGAGTCTGGTTTAGGCCAGATCCGCGATAGGGAAGGAATCTCTCCCTCCCCCAAAGTGTGTAACAGGGAGGAAAAGTGGAGGGCATTGGCTTCCCCACAGCCCTGAGCAGGGGTCCCCCGGCCCTAGCCCACGATGCTCCTGTGCAGTGATTAACCCCCTGCCCCTTTCACCAGGGCGTGAAATTAACTGTGTGTGTCAATTGCATTTGGGGGCCCTTGGGGTGGGGCGAGGAACCCAGGGTGACTGCAGGAGAAGGAGGGGGCTCCTTCATGCCTGGCTGGTTTCTCTCTCCTCCCAAGTGCTTTTGCTTTTCTTGTCATCAGCATCGGCAGATGGGCGGGGACCCCCACCCTGCCTCACGCGCGGGAGCAGAGAGGCAGCCACCTGGGATTCAGCTCAGTCCCCCCGCCTGGCTCAGCCTGACCCATCCCTTCCAGCCGGAACCTAAAGGGACCCAACCGAGGTGCCAGGACTGGGGAAATGAGGCTCATGGCTGGACCCAGGAGTCCGTGGGGACCCTGCCTTCTAAACAAGTCCCTCTTCTCCCCAAACCCAGACAGCCACCAGGCTCTCCCTGCAGCCTGTTCTCCGTCCAGGGGTGAAAAGCAGAAGGTGCCACTGTAAACACCAGGAGATCCAGTGTCAGACACACATTCCACAGGCCTGGCGTCACAGCCCGGCTCGTCCCCCTGCGACCAGCCCCACGGAGGGAGCGCGCACCCCGACGTCGGCCAGGTGGCACTGGCTGCTTGCTGATGGCGTGGGAAGACATGGCAAGAGCTGCCCGCCTGGGGGCTGGGTCAAGGCGGTGAGATGGGAATGTTTGGGCAGGACCCACAGCGGCAGACCCAGCAGCGCCAGCCCCAGGGGAAATAGCAAAGGAGTCGGTGCTCCTGTAATGCCCAAAGCACTTCATGAGCACTCGCTAATGAAGCCACCTTTTTGAGTTAGCTCAGCATCAACCCTATTTTGCAGATGGGGAAACTGAGGCACGGAGGGGGAGGGGACCGCTGAGGTCACACGGCAAGTCAGCAGCAGAGCAGGGATCAGATCCCAGGCGTCCAGGTTCCCACTCCTACATGCAGAACCCTAGGCCACACCTCATTTGCATGTCATTTACCCAGAATGCTCTATCCTAGCAGGGTCTCTCCATGCAGTGGGATTTGATTCTCATCCCTGAAGCAGCCCGGCCTCTGCTCCCCAGGCCGATGCTGGGAGCCCCTTCTCCCACCCTGCCATTGTGGCTTACTGGCCAGGAGCCGGTGCTGGGGCCAGGGCAAGGCAGAGCCTGCAGGCGGGGACAGCCGCACAGCGTGGGGCAAGACTCCCCTTTACCCTGCTCTGAAGGCTGAGCTTGTGAAGATAAGATGCTGGGGACAGGTTGGGGGGAGCACAGAGAGAGGCTTAGGAACCCCCCAAAACACATGTGATCAGGCCAGCAGCAGAAGCAGGGGCAGATACAGGTTAGGGGGTGGAGCAGGGTTGGGGAAAGCTGATGAATTTACCCCCCCACACACACACACGCACACTGAGTCACCCCCCCTGCTGATTACCTTTCCTTTCATCCCCTCCCTCCATTTCATCCCCTTTCCATGGCCTCTGCCCCTTGCATTCGCTGAGCTGCAAGCGCACAGTGCCACCCATGCCAGTCTGGGGGGGGCACCCATGCGCCCCAGGAGCACGCTGGATCTCCCAGAAGGTTGCCCCTCTTTGGGGGTGCTCGACCAGCAGCGCACGCCCATTTCAGAGGACGCAGGCTGGTTACCCCGTCGCTACAACAGCGGCACCGCCATGGTGACCACAGCATCCTCCTTGCACCTCCAGCTCAGCCTGGTAAGATCAGCCCAGCTCCCAGGGGACAAGGCAAAGACCCCCCTAGGATGGGGACGTATTGGGCCTCCTCGTTGGGAGCTCAGCAGAGAGTCCCAGCATTGAATGCACTATGGGGACTCAACTCCCCTCTCCTCCACCAGCCAGGAGTCCCTCCGGGGCAGGGCAGGATATTGGCCTCGAGGGGTGTGTGCGGGAGAGGGGGGCGGCACTGCCCAATTTGTACCATAATACAAATAACTAAGTGCTCACCCATCACAGTCTTGCTGAAGTGGATGGCCGCCTTTCATCTCTTGTTGAATGCTGCCCCCTCGCCTCTCTCTCCAGCTACTGCAGGCACCGATCCAGGGCCCGGGGAGATCTGAAACTTCATTTCAGGTTTTTTGAGGGTTGCTTTATTCCAAGGCAGATCCAGTCCCTGCGATCCCCAGGGCAGACAACTCGAGCACTGAGACGCTCTCGGTGCAGTGTGGATGTCATGAACAATAAGATGCTGCCATTCTACAGCATGTTCCATCCTAGGATCCTGTTGGGCTTTAGATACATCAATTTAGCCCACAGTCGTCGTCGTCCCCCCCCCAGCATTTTGTAGATGGGGAAACTGAGGCACAGCAAGATTTAAGACCAGTATTTTCCAGCTTGGGTGTCTCAAGTGAAGCGCCCAATCAAGGGGTCTGATCTGCAAAGCTCGCACGCACCTGTAGTGCCCACAGACTTCACTGGGATTGTGGGTACTTGGCACCTCTGCCAATCAGGTCACTTACGCCGTTAAATATGGATCGAGGAGGCCTAGTCTTAGACATCCAAGATTGACAGTGTTGAGCGAAGTGACTTGCCCGCTGTCACCTAGCAAGTTTGGGGCTAAGGCAAGAATGGAACCCAGATAACCACAGCCCCTTAACCACAAGCCCATCCTGCCTGCATTAGAGATCCCGAGGGAGCTGCCGTTTGCTGGGCACTAGCTGTGCCCACCCCCAGAAGTGGCTGCATTTCAGTGGGGCTGTGCTGCCAGAGTGCGGTGGGAGGAGGGGTGCTGGGCACAGTGCGGGTGGGTTATTCTGACCCTTCCCCCTTCACGCTACAAAAGAGGAGGGGGAGCAGCAGACGTGGGAGGATGGAAGGAAGGGGCAGGACGTTTGGGATGTGCCTGGGGGATTCCCAGGATGGGGTTAGGGGCCTTATCGGGGGGGTTTAGGGTCCCTTCCCCACACCCTAGAGATGGAAGGGAAATCAGCTTCTCTATAAGGATCAGAGACAATAGAGATGAAAGAGACCCTAGAACACCTCTTCCATCCCCTTTGCCCACTGCCCTACATGCTGTTCTCTGGCCCAGCTGTACATGGCCCTGGCGTGGGGGCTCCCACCCCTTACGAGACGACCCCCCAGCCACCGATCCCAGCGTCAGGAAGTGCTTCGATCAATCCCAGCCCAAACCCGGGATCACAGCCAGAGCTGGACACCAGAGGGAGCCACGCCAGTGATCGTGCAAGGGAGTCCAAGCCAGCCCTGGGCCTAGGGCTGCCCAGGGCATGGCTAGTTCCAGAGAGGGGGCACTGGGCTCCCCCATGGTTCATGGACATGCAAATGGGGCGCTCAAGGGTGCAACGAGGGGCAGGCGGGAGGGTTTGTCTACACAGGGAAATTCCAAAGCGAAATAAATATCCCAGAACAGAGTCACTTGTACTGTGGAACAGTGGTCACATGGAGGGTGGGTGGGGGGTGGGGGGGTTAGAATGATTTTGATATACCTCTGCAGTGTTTCTCCATGGAGACAAACCTTAAGGGTCAAGGGGGAAGAAGACCGCCCCCCCAAAAGGGCCTCATAGAAAGTTTCTGAACATCCTCCCAGCTAACCCACCCTGTCCCCACAGTCCTGGGGCCACCGCCCCTTGCAGAGGGGACCCTGGGAGAGTAGAAACAAGCAACACAGAGCGTCTCCTTGCTGGTGTGAGCATCGTTACAGCTGGACTCATCCCATGGCGCCCTCCTCACCTGGGCATCTCACAGGACTTTCACTCAGCCATGAAGCCATGCCTCTGGAAGGGACCAGTCCACCACCCCCGAAACACAGCCAGCTCTGGGGTGGAGCAAGGCGGTTGTTGAACAGCCGCACGGCAAAGCTACAGAACAGTGGGGGGTGGCACATGGAGGAGGCGGCTGCATGCAGTGGCAGTGCCATGGGGGTGGGGAGACATGTCGGCTGCAGAATGGACCTGGCAGCATTATCCCGGCTGTGAGCTTTTGCGCGAACACTTGCCGCACGGGGCCAGGGATCTGCCATTCTCAGCCGGAGTTACAGGCTACTTCCACAACGCCAAGTTTAAGCCTTGCGAATACGGCCCCGGATGGGGCATAGGAGGCCTGGGTTCTATCCCCACCCCTGTCACCAATTCTGGACGTGGCCATGGGCAAGACACTCACTCTCTGTTTGCTTCTGTTTTCTTACCCGTCTGTCTCCCCCCTTTGTCCATCTAGGCCGTGAGGGGAGGGGCTGGCTGGGCCTGGGCAGTGCCTAGCATAACAGGGCCCTGATTTCTACCGGCACCTCTGGGCACCATTGTAACAGACCAGGGCTCTTTACATGGCAGGCCTCGCCCCAGGGGGGGCATTGGTCACCCCAGCGCTTCCCCGTCGCTCTGCTCCCTCCCCACGCCCACGTTCAGAGCCGCTGAAACATCCCCAGACCCCTGGTCTGTTTGGGTCATGGATTTTCCATGTTTCTCTGGCTAAAGGCGTTCGCAGGGGCGGGGGCAGATATCAGGCTGTTTCGTCTCTTCCATAACCCCCCCCCCCAAATGTGTGACAAACCCTCACCGCAGTAACCAGCCATGATGCCACCCCGCCCAGGACTCCAGGTGAGGGCCAGGCAAACCATCTCAGAAACCCAGCTGCTGCTCTGCCAAGCCTGGATTCCCCTTTAACGAGCTCTGCCGGCCCCTCCTCTCTGCCCGCCCCCAAGTTGTGGAGTCTTGAGCCCAGATCTTGGGTGTCCAATCGGCAGGCGAAGGGGAGAGCAAGCCCCCGTCCTGCATTATAAGAGGTTTGCAAGTGCTCTGCCTTGAGGACAGTGAGTGGAGCAGGGAGACAGAGCTGGGGAATAGGGGGGTGGGACTGGGGAGTTGCAGAAGCAGTGGGCCCTGGGGAGGATGGAGCATTCAGCCAGCAGGAGGGCCCAGGGAGACAACCTGAGTTACTTCCTAGAGGATCCAGGCACCGGGACGCTGTACAGGAGGGGCCAGCTCCTAGGAAAGGTACCTTTTTTGTTGTTGTTTCCAGCGGTTCTAGGAAGCCCATTCCCCCCAGGGCTGTCAGGGGGCAGAATCTGACAGCAGCTGTGTGTGCGCATCTGATGGGGACAGTGCTACTTCTGCGCTTCTCCAGCACCTGCCACCGGACGCTGGCAATGGATTAAACTCATCCAGTCCCTCTTCCCTTCCCCCCCCCGTGAGGTAGGTAAGTCATTGCGGTCTCCAGTTTAGATGGGGAAACTGAGGCACAGGGGGGAAGGGCGATTTGCCCAAGGTCATCTAATCAGTGACAGAGCTGGGCATAGAACCCAGGAGTCCTGATGCCTACCCCCCTTCCCCTGTTGGATCCACTAGACACCATGCCCTTCTGAGAGCTGGGATTAAAACCCAGCCCCCCCCCCCCCTGCTCTCACTAGACCCCAGCGCTGAGCTGCAACAGGCCACGGGCTGATTCAGGAGAATCTCTGCTGATTCTAGGGATCAGGATGTACCCCGTTAGCCGAAGCCCATGGGGTGCACTCGCTGCAAAAGCAGCAGCGGATTAGCAGCGGGCTGCGCTCACAGCGGGGGCTGCCAGACGTGCCCTCGCTCCTCTGAGGTTCTGGCAGCCACTTACCAGGGAGAAGTTACAACTCATGAATGAGTCGTCGGGGGCTCTTCCCGGCTCCTCCTGGGTGCAAAGGGAACGCTTAGCTACCCCGCTCCTTACCCTCCCTAATACCCCGGGCCCGATCCTCCATCACTTACGCCAGTGCAAACTGCGACCCAATCAGGGGCAGCCGTTTACACCTACTTTGCCCTGATGCCAGTGACCTGGGAATCCGGGGATCAAAGACGCTTGGCCCCAGGACTTCCTCCTGCGGCCAGCTCACGACAAGTCTGCCAAGGGAAGCCCCGAGCACGTCAAGTTACCCTGGATGGAGCAGCCTCATGCACTGGTTAGGGCCCTGCTCCGGGCTGTCGCTGCAGGTCCTGGGTGCCGGAGGCTAGGATGGCTCAGGGCAGAGTGCTCAGCCCGGCTCAATGCCACTCCCCCACGGGTCCAGCCAGGGGCCCACTAGCCCACGCCCGGAGAGCAGGGCTTGCTCCCCACTGGTGCTACTGCAGTGCCCCACCCCAGACAAGGCCTCAGTCTCACTGTGATGGGGAAACTGAGGCACAGTGCGGGGTTAGCCATCCAGTGGTGCTGCAAATTTTTATAGTAGAGGTGCAAAAGGTGGAAACCATGTATTTGAGTTGTCACTACTACTTCAAGCCAGGGGGTGAGGCAGCCCCCCCAGCACCCCAAGTTCCTGCACCTAGAGACCTGTCTGTCTCATTCCCCATCTCTGTTCATAGCGTAACATCCTGTGCTGACCTCACTGCTCTACCAGACAGTGGTGAGGCAGGAATTCAATCAGAGAGAGGTAGTCTGCGTAGTCACTGCGGGCTGGGGTGTAGCTGTTGCCAGGAGAGGGGCCGGTGGGGAAATTCTTGTTGCCAAGCAGAGGAGGGAAGAGGCCCTCGGCCCAGGTTAAGTAGTTTTGCATTCTGGCCTTGAATCCGGAGCCAAAAATCGAGGGGAAGCAGAGCCCGGTGGTGAATGGGCATTTTGTTGTGGAAACTGCTGCTCTCTCCTTGGGGAAACTGAGGCACAGAGGCAAAGCAACTCGCCCGTCAGCTGCTGCTGCACCTGCAGGAGGGTGACTTTGTCTCTTTCAAGAGAGCTGCGTTGGCAGGCAGGAGCGGCCACGTCAGGAAGCAGGAGAGCCCCATCTGCCACGCAAAGCTGCCCACAACACGTACTATCCCCACCGGAAAGGCTGGTGCCTTGTGCAGCATGTGAGGCTCAGCCTGGGCACTGCTGCCTAGTGGTTAGAGCCAGCAATGGGGACTCGGGGCCCCGGCACTGAGGGGAGCAGGCTTTAGGAGTTAAAGCAGGGTTTGGGACGTCCCATCTCTGGGAGGCGAGCCCGACCTAGGACTCCTGGGTTCTAGTCCTGCCATGGGACTAGCTATTTTCCCTTTCTGCAAAACAAGGATCAGCCCCCTTAGGGTGAGCCTGAGCCCCTCAAATGGAAGGGCCAAGGGTCATCATTGGAGGCACCGTCAGGGTGGGAACGACCCTCCCCGGTTGCCCAACCCCCTGGCTTTGTCCCAGGGAAGCTCCCTCCCGGTACAAGTCTCCACAGGGCCGGGGGAGCAGGATGCAGCCCCCGGGTTACCAGAATCCTCACGGCTCCTCCTTGCGTGCAGGGGGCTTTCGGCCGGTGCTACAAGTTCACGGACACGTCCACCGGCAAAGTCTACGCCATCAAGATCGTCCCCCAGTCCCGCATCTCCCGGCTGGAGAGCAGGGGGAAGGTGAGCCAGGGGCTACTCCCTGGGGTGGGGAGGAAGCATCTAGCACTGGCCAGAGAGAGGAGGGGGCTGGCCAGGTGAGCCTTGAGGTCATGCCCCCCCCTCTCTTATCATCCCCCCAGAGGAGCAATTGGCTGCAGCTGGGCCCTGTTCTGCCTTCTCCCAGCTGGGCTGCCTGTGCTGGGGCAGACACCCATGAACTGCGGGGGAAGGTTAACCCTTTCCTTGCCAGCACCCGGGGCTCATCTATACCCCTCCCCCCGCCAAGCCCCATTCCCTTCTTTATAAGGGATTCCCGTGCCCCCTCACCCCATACCTCAATCTTGGGGGCAGGGGTGGGGGTTAAACCCCAGGGTAAACAAAGAAGTCCCCCTCCCACTGCAGACGCTCCACATTCCTCTTGTTCTCACCATCCCTTGTTCTCACCCCGGGGTGTCACCCAGCCCCCGCCCCGCTGAGACAGGGTCTCTGAGGATCACGGAGCAAACCCCGGACCATGCCCAGATGAGCAGCAGCCTCAAATGTCAGTGCAGGGTGAGACCACTTCTCATTCCTACGCATAGGGACGCCCTTGCTCTTGAGCACTGAAGATTGAGAGCGTTAGCTCTGGTGGCCTGGCCAATTCCCACCCTGCAGGTAACTGCAGACTGGGCTACATAATACATTCCCCCCTGCAGCTTCGGTCAGGATCCAGAAATTCCCCATCTGTCTCTATCGTGTGACTCGGCTGTTGCGGGACGGCGATCACATTCCACCGCAGAGCCAGCTGCATTTCAGTGGCAGAGGTGTGATTTCCCTTGCACACACTGTCTGCCAACGGCTTTGGCATCCCTTGGGCCCTCTTGCCCGAGAGACGTGTCAGATCTCGTTAATGTCTCGGTCTTGCTGGTCATTTTACCAGCTTATGTTGGCATCAACCAAAAAGCATGAATGCTGTGAGGTAGCTGGGTTCTGACGCTAATGAAATGGCCAGTGGTGGGTAGGTAGGCACAGCTGCCACCTACAGGCTGCGATCTGAACGGCATAGCTGTGTTTCATAGGCCCTATACTGCTAGCAGCTAATGGGGTTTCTCCTATCGCTCCAGTAGCAGAATGATCTAAGTTCTATCCCTATTGCTGTCCCCGTCTCCCTGCCAGCTGTGAAACTCCTAGCTGGGCGCGAGGACCCAGGCGGAGCAGGGGGCGTGTGTGTTTTCCACAGCGCTGTATGATTCTAGCTGACTCCAGCGCTTCGGGCTCGTGACTCGTTTCACTTGCGATTTGTGTGCGTGTCTGCAATTCTCCTCCCGCAGGTCGAGAGGGAGATCGAGCTGCACAGCCACCTGAGCCATCGGCACGTCGTGGGCTTCCACCGGCACTTTGCTGACCGGGACAACATCTACATGATCCTGGAGTACTGCAGCCACAAGGTGAGCCAAGGCGCTGGGCCCCGGATCTCATCAGGGAAGGGAGCCAAGTCCTGTTCAAAGAAATACCTAGACTCAGAACCTCCAGGGTGTTTGCACGCTTAACTTCTGTTGAAATCCAGGGAAATTAGGAGCCTACACCCATTTGGGGCCATAATAACTTGGGCGTCTCTCCTGAATCTTTTCCAATCCTCTGGGGTCTGCAAATCTGGCTTGAAAATACGAGACCAGCTTTTATCTGGCTTGCAACACATCCCGAGAGGCCTGTTGGACTAGCATTGGGAGAGGCAGCCTGGTCTAGAGCAGAGAAGGTGCTGGGATTCTGGAGAGCTGGGTTCTGGTCCCTGTGATCTACTGTGTGTGACCTCAAGTGAGTCACTTTCCCCTCCTTCCCTCCCACTCTTTGTCTCCTTTCGACTCAGAGCTCTTCGGGGTGGGGTCTCTCACTGCGTGTAAGGGCAGCACGGGGGCTCTGATCTCAGCCCGGAATGGTCGTTAGTCCTTAGGCTGCTCTAAATTACACTGGGGCAGCGGAAGATTTCCTGGGAGCAGCAGAGGAGTCACTCCAAACACAGCTGATTGAAAGGGACAGACGCGTTTATTTTTCAGGGCTGGCTCTTTAGTTAACTAAGTGAAGGGTGGGGCAGCTTTCAGAGGCGCTGCCTCCAGCAGCTCCACTGAACCTCCGACAAGCGGAGATGGGCTGGAAATGTGGACGTCAGGCCCAGCTGTTGAGCGCCCGAGGGTCAGAGGAAGGGGGGATGGGTTTGACTCAAGCCCCTCTGCCCCCTACCCCGATCCAATCTGTCCTCAAAGGCGGGGCGGGGGGTTACCAGCTCCTTGGACCGTGCCACCGTTAGGAGGCCTGTGTGCTGTGCTGGACCAGATCTGTCACCGATTTGCTTTCCTCTGCCCATCCCCAGTCCCTTGCCCACATCCTGAAGGCCAGGAAAACTCTGACGGAGCCAGAGGTCCGATATTACCTGAGGCAGATCATTGCGGGGCTGCGCTACCTCCACCAGCAGGGCATCATCCACCGCGACCTCAAGCTGAGTATGTGGCGCGGGCCGGCGGCAACGAGCATGGGGCCGGCTGCAGCACAGGGTGACGCCGGGTGGAGGGGGGGATCCCCAAAGGGTGCAGGGGGAGAGACCTCGCCAGCGATGCATTGCCAGCTTACACATCACCCTCTGATGCCGAGCAGGTGCCCGTGGGAAAGCGGCTGGCAGAGGGAACCGGATTCCATCCCACCGCTCCAGAGTCCTCGCCTAATGAATGGACGTGCTAGGGGACTTGGCTGCAGTGGGGACAGGAGGGCAGTATTGCCTACTAGTTACAGCCAGGGCGTGGGAATCAGGACTCCTGGGTTCTATGCTTGGGAGGTGCAAGGGTTGGAGTGTGGGGAGGCCAGGGGGGGTTGGAACTCCTGGGTCTTTTTTTCCAACTCTGAGGCCTGTGGAGCAGGTTGCTGGGTGCCAGGACTCCTGGGTTCTGGTCTCAGCTCTGGGAGGGTGGCCCTATAGGTTGGGGGAGCGGAGGGAAGGGGCTGGTCCTTGGGGCTCCTGGGTCCTCTCTCCAGCCATGAGAAGCGTTGAGCTGGTTCTGGGGTGCCAGGACTCCTGGGTTCTGGTCCT